GAGCACCATGCCCTGGCCCCAAAGTCTGCCTTCAGCATTTCCTGGGGACCTTGCTGCTCCATTCTCTTGCTGTTCCGCTGCACTCCCCCAGTGCTTTGCGTCGGTGTGGTGGGATCAGATCGGGTGCAGTTCCCACACTGTGTCTCTGGTGCTGTCCCCTGCAGGGCCATGGGTCAGTGAGGGGCATCATGTCTCATAGTGGGGCTGGCCATTTCGTCCTCTCTGTGGCAACTGATGTTTTAAAATGTGCAATAGTTTTAAAACCTTTTATAGGGATATGAAAGCTATTTCAAAACAAACTGTTTCCAGTATATTGTCAAGTTTGTGTGGGACTGCTAACCACAAGGTCAGTGATTCAAATCCACCTGCAGCTACAAGGGACAAAGTTGAGGCTTTCTGCTTTAAAATGTACAGCCTCAGAACCCTTAATAGGGTTGCTTTAAGTCAATTGACTAGCTGACGGACAGTTTTTTAGGGGTTTTTTAAGTCTTCATTGGTCATAAACGTTTGCTTATTCTTCAGCTGAATGAAAAGACCCAAGTTATGTTAGAGCGAAAGAAACATGTCCACTCTTACCCTCCACCAGCGCCACAGTTCAGCAGGGTAGAGTGATTGACTGATTTAGACATAGACAAAAGTAACACCGCATACAGTACAAGGTTTCTTAGCATTTCCATAAAAATCTCTGAAGGCCTTTTTATTTATGCTGGAATTGCATTTAGATTGATAAATGTGACTTCACATTCAGCTAAAGCTAATGGGTATCAGCTTTCAGAGCAATTTTGTCAGGTTTCTATTATGAATGTCCCTGGGTCATCTTTAGACAGTGCAAAGCCCATCTGTTATACACACTCCTTTTTGTCTCAGAAACCTTCATTGTAAGCCTGTGACCTGATACCAACCCAGAGCGGAAATGAGAAAATTGGAGCAGTGCATAATTTGGTTGTTGATTGAAAGTGTTCCTCTCTCTTAAATATTGCAGTGGGAAATTAATCTTTTTCTTCATTCCATCATGCTAAAAAATGATACTATTGAAAATTAATTAACACTAAATTAGTCCCACTCATGGTATTTCATCAAAGTTAAATTAATTCACAATGAAAGAATTTTTTGTTTATCAGAATAAATGATCATATTACTACTGTTAGGATTGCTTAGTTGTACAGTAGTTATCTATTCCTGGTCCGCTTATCAATCGTAAATCTCCATACTGAAAAACCTACATTTTTGTCATTTCTTTTTTTCTCTTTTAATTTATCGGTATTCTATTTAGAAGACATTTTGACAGGTTTTTGGAATCAAAACCATAGATGGTTGTCCTTGCCTTTCCACTGAGGGACCCAGACTCTATGAGGTACATAACCTTAGCAGCCGCTGGGCAAGAGGGATACCACTGGGAGGCTGTTTAGGGACCTTCTCGGAACCAGCTGAATTCTATTAGTGTTAATTGTGGCTCTGCAGTGGGATTCTCCTGCACTACTCACACAGGTGCAAACTGACATGGAGAACGGAGTTTGTAGCAGCAGAACCCTAGGGCAGCGGTTCTCAGCCTGTGGGTCTTGACCCCTTTGGGGATCAAACGACCCTTTTACGGGGGTCGCCTAAGATCATCAGAAAACAGGTTACAATTTACATTACAATCCATAACTAACAAAATTACAGTTATGAAGCAACAGTGAAATAATTTTATGGCTGTGGGTCACCACAACATGAGGAACTATATTAAATTAAGAAGGTTGAGAATCACTGCCCTTAGTGGGTCTTCCGAGGATGGGAGCTCCCAGACTAGGAGCTCAGCTTATGCTTTTATTTGACTTTCACTGCCAGTATTTTGAATGTGGGTGTTAAGGATTGAATTGTGTCCCTCACAATGTATTGTAAATTCTCACTCTACACCTAAGGTTATAACTTTGTTTGGGAATGGCTTTCTTTCTTATGTTAATGAGATTGGGCGTGTCTTAAATCTCTTTTGTGGTGTGAAAGCAGAATGAGCAAGCCAGAAATTTAAGCCCCGCTCCCAACCAGTCAATTCTGACTCTGGGTACTAGGGCAGAGCAGAACTGCTCCCTAGGGTTCCTGAGGCTGTGCATCAGTCCAGGAGTAGACGGCAGGCTTATCTTGCTCTCCAGGACTGACTGATGGGCTCAACTCCTAACCACTACACCACCAGGGCTCCTCATTAAGCAGACAGGCAAGCACAAATGGAGGGGAAGATACACACTCTGTAAATTTGTTTTTGTGAATGAATTGTAAGCCATCCAATTCACAATAAAAGTTTAAAATAATAATAGCACCAGGATAACAGACTTTATGGGGCTATACTGGGGAACCTAGAAAGTGTGATCATCCTACCTAATAGGGTTTTGACACTTCCATAAATACAACCTTGCCAACTCTAGATGGTATCAAACTTCTTAATCTTTGTCAATTTGGTAGGGGGAAAAAGGAATCTTAATATTACTTGTATTTTTTTAATAAGGAAGTAAGTCTGTAGTCATGTATGCTATGAACATTTTTTCCCCTAGTTTGTCATATTTTACCATTGAGTGGTTTCTAAATGTACACAGTTGGACCTTAAAGAGGCACCAAGGGGGAGAGTAGAGGCTGGAGAGGGTAACCGAGGGTAGGCTCTGGATCAGTCAAGCTACCAGGCAGTCTTTGAAGAAAAACTGCATGGGAGAAATGGTATAGTGCTTCTATCTCCTTAGAGGAAAATACATAAATAAAAGTTGGACAATATTTAGCTTATATACAGTGTACTAACCATGATACAAAGATATTTGCTCTCTACATTTTTCTTCCAGAGGTTTTGTCAGCTATGATCAGTGTGCTATTGGTATATATACTGATGGGATTCCTCTTGTATGAAGCTGTGCAAAGAACTATCCACATGGATTACGAGATAAATGGAGATATAATGCTCATTACTGCAGCTGTGGGAGTTGCAGTTAACATCATGTAAGCTCTAGCTTTTTTATTTATTAATTTTTTATTAAATATTTCCAAATAGTATGAACTTAGAAACTGTTATACATGTATCCTGTAATATGCCATTTGTATATTTTTAACTCATGATATATATTACATTTTATAGTAAATGCTAACAGAATACTTTTGACATTGCAAATTCAAATATGGAGATTAATTAACAGATACTCATGAGCTTAAGTGGCACAAAGTGTTTTACTTCTTAATTTGTTCAACTTATAATATTGCTATGTTGTTGAGATAACTTTCTAAAAATAATTACTCTTTTTCTATAAACTATCAAAATTTTTGTGTTAATGTATTGTAATATTTAGACCAGAAAGTTGGCGGGCTTCTTCCATAAAAGGCCAGGTAGTAAGTGTTTTAGGCTTTCTCTGTCATAGCTGCTTAGCTCTGCTGTTTCTATGAAGAGGATTTAAAAAGTTTGTGGAAAAATGGAATTGAAAGATGATGAAATGTTTCCATGAACTTTTGAAGCCCCCTCATAAAATGAAAACAGCCATAAATGCTAAATAAACAGATGAGCATGGCTAGGTTTCAACAAAACTTTATTTACAAAAGCAGAAAGTGGGCCAAATTTGGTTTAATGGTCATAATTTGCCAATCTTTGTCCCAGTAACTTCCACTGGTACTTAGAATAAAATCAAAACTCCTTTCCATGTTCTTTTTAGTAAGTACCTGTGTTACTTTCCAACTCTTCTAGCTCCTTCACTCACTATATTCTGGCCACAATAGCCAGCGAGTTTTTTTCCCAAGACACGGAGCGTGTTTTCATCGTCGGCCCTCCGCCTTGCTCTTCCGTCTCTGTAGGACACTCTTCCACCAGAGCCCGCTCTGTTGCTTCAGGTCTCTGAATGCGAGAGGCGCCATCTCCTCACAGTGTTTAGCTTTTTGACCAATCGCTTTGCATTACCTGCCATTATGCTAGCATTATATATGTATTTATTTACCTTTCTACCTTCCCTACTAAAATTAAAACTCAATGGGGGTAAGGCTTAGTCTGTCTTACTATTCAGTACCTACCACCTAGTACATAGTAGTGCATGTGTACAGCACCTGGTATATAGTAGTGCTCAGCTCTTTAGTCAATAAATGGGTCTTGTGTTGCCTCATAAGTGTCTAACTAGTAAAAAATATTTCTATCAAAATTTGAGAAAAATCAATGATTTTTCTCTTATTTCAACAGAATGGGGTTTCTGTTGAACCAGTCTGGTCACCTTCACTCACATTCCCACTGCGCGCCTTCAAATTCTCCTACCACAAACTCTGGGCGTAGCCACAGCCTTGGACAGGGTAGCCTAGCAGTGAGAGCTGCATTCGTACATGCCTTGGGGGATTTGGTGCAGAGTGTCGGTGTGCTGATAGCTGCATACATCATACGATTCAAGGTAATCTGGTTACTAACCTTCTCTTTTAAATTATATCTTATTTCAATTTAAAACTAAAGTTGTTTATCTTCTCAGTTATGCTGGATATCAATACCAGTCTTATTTTGAAAATACAACCTTAATCTGGTTACCATGTAGCTCTTTTGTTAAGAGTAAACAAAATAGCATCACTTCCTGCCTTACCAGCTTGGGTCAGGCCTTCCTTGGAGGCCTCAACACAGAGCCATGTCAGTGAATTATAGGGAGTGTAACGAGCACTAAGCCAGAAGTCCAGGGATATCTGGGTCTTAGTGTTGGCCCTGTTGTCATTACTTTGTCCTTGAGAAAGCCTCTCAACTCTAAACCTGAGCTCCCTCCTCTCTAATATGCCAAGATTTAGACAAGATGGCTCCAAAGCCAGTGGTTCTCAACCTTCCTAATGCTGCCACCCTTTAATATAGTTCCTCGTGTGGTGACTCACCAACCATAAAATTATTTTCGTTGCTATTTCATAACTGTTATATTGCTACTGTTAAGAATTAGGCGATACCTGTGAAAGGGTCTTTCAACCCCCAAAGGGGTCGCGACCCACAGGTTGAGAACCACTGCCCTGAGCTGAGTGATACTGGGTGAGATTTCAAGAAGACATAGAAGAGACCAGGAGAGCACCCAATTGAGCTTCTAGAAATAGATCCCACCAGGAAACACATGTAAACAATCTGGGGAAGAGTGAAGATGTTTTTCAATCACAATAGCCAAGTGGTAAAGGTATCTGTAATCCTGCCAAAGACAGCAAAAGAGCAGGGATGTAACTTGCTTTGTTCTGCTTTACAGTCTCTGTCTGTATTGGGGGTTCCTAGGGGCCACAAATAGTTCAGTGCTGAGCTAGGAAACAAAAAGTTGGTGGCCCAAACCTACGCAGAGATGCCGTGGGAAAAAACCCAGGTGTTCTGCTTCCTCAAGGCCAACGCTGTGACAATCCTGTGCCACGTGGTTACATGCTGACACACTCGGGGTCACCATATGTTGGAATGGGCACAACAGTAACTGGTCTGCTATATTTCATCACATAGTTTCCATCTGTTGCCTTTCAGCCAGAATACAAGATTGCTGATCCCATCTGTACATATGTATTTTCATTACTTGTGGCTTTTACAACAGTTCGCATCATCTGGGATACAGTAGTCATAATACTGGAAGGTAAGAAAGAGTGCACTAATATCCTTGTCATGAGTTTATTCCTTCCCAAGCAGGTTTGGGGAGGGAGCCCTCTAGGGTAGGAGCCTTGGCTTTTCCATTCACTTTACTGTTGACTTATGAATCTGTAGCACGCCACTGAATGTTTGTATCACTTAGCAAGGGGCTTCAAGAAGTTCATGGAAAAATAGAATTAAGATGTAATGGAATTTTTCCAGGAGCTTTTTGAAGCCTCGCCTATGAGAATTAGCGCACATGCCCATCTGTGATACCATTTGATGCTTATAATAAATAGTTAAGCAAAATCGCCAAGGCAGCCATTCTTATCGTCATGTACCAACCAGGAATGGAGGCTCCAGGGGTAGCCCATTATGGTCAAGGTCACACTGCCAATAATTGACCTAGAACAGTAGCCATTTTTAAATTCTTAATACAGTTATATTTAGTGATTTATTTACTCTTTGATTCCCTTTTAAGTTGCAACTTTGTTTACGGCATCCTTGCCTTATATATCTGCTTTATATTAAAATATTAATATCAAGTGGTCACATGAAGTGAATTTGGTGAAATCACATAGTTTCTTTGAAAAGTATTATCAGTGGCATTAATAACTGAAGCTAGGACAACAGTGAAACTTTTAATTCTTTGTGTAATTCTGTTCAGTTAGTTTTTTTCCCAAGAGAAACTTTACTTATAAATTATGTATTATGTATTACAGGTGTACCAAGCCATTTGAATGTAGACTGTATCAAAGAAGCCTTGATGAAAATAGAAGATGTTTATTCGGTGGAAGATTTAAATATCTGGTCTCTCACCTCGGGAAAGCCTGCTGCCATCGTTCACCTACAGCTAAGTATGTTGCTGCTGGCAAATGCGTGGCTGGGCAGGGTGGCCAGCTATCTTGGGAGTTAAACATCTGTGCATATAATTAAGTAGGTAGACTTTTCTGAAAAAGACATATTTTTTATTGTGAATTAGATGGGTTTATATTTCAAACCATCAGTTTTGTATTATATAATTTAAGCTACTTATCAGTCCCCCCAAAACTTGCCTATCCCACCTCCCCACCTCTGCTTTGATTTCTCTTCTCTCTCATGTGGCACCCTGTCTTCCCCTTCATCCAGGCCAACACCGTCTACCCTCCAGCCCATTGCTTCTTCTCCCCTCCTTTCCCAGCCTATCATCAAAGTCTGTTTCCTTTGGAGTGATAACGTTTGTCTTGTTTTTTTCTTTATAATAATGTTTCCATACAATATTTGTCCCTTTGTGATTAACTAATCACACTCAGTTTAATCTCTCTAGGTCCATTTATGCCATGAAGTGCTTCATGGTTTCATCATTTATTTTTTTCAAAATCAAAAGCTAATACAGATATCATGGATAGTATTCCATTGTGTGTCTGGACCAAAGTTTCTTCATCCATTCTTCCACAAATGGACATTGAAGACGTTTCCGTCTTCTTGCTGTTTTGAGTAGTGCTGTGATGGACATAGGTGTCCGTGTGTCGATTTGGAGGTTGCAGGTCAATATGGGTATCAGAACAATAAATTTCGGTCATTTTGAGATGAGACATTAAAATTGTTTTTGTTTTTTTTCTGTGATAGTTCAGGTTTTTTTTTTTTT